AATGCTTAATTTCCAACCGATTTCATTGAAATGCAACCAAAAATTTATAAATAACCTCAAGCAAAACAAGTTGAATATTTGCATGCATGAATTAATTTATGTACCAAATTTTGAATTGCATGTGTTTGATCGATCTAGCGTGCCAGAAAAAACGAGAGAGGGAGAGAGTGCGAGAAAGGGAGGAAAAACAGCCTAAACAAAATCACTGATTTACTGGTATCGGTTGCGGGCAATCAACGTGAATTGAATAGAATATTTCACAGTCCTTTGTTCATAAATTAATTAAATGTACACAATAGACGCTGTCAAGCCATTAAATGGCGTTCGATTTGCAAACCGCTATTATATACGTGTGGCCACACAAAAGTGATCGTTATTGAAAATGACTTCAAACTTTTCGCTCTCTCTCTTTCTCTGTGATGAATCAGGGGCTGTCAACTGGTGTGACATGCTGTGATCGAATAATAAAGGTACACTTTGAATGGTATTGCGGTCATATGCGGCATTGAAATTGAAAACTATTTCATAAATCCGTGCTGACATCAGGTATCAGATCAAAGCATTTTGTCGGGTTAATTATTCTCATTATAAACAAGCCGAACGGTAAACGGTTTCCTTTCAAGTTTTAATCGATCAAACCGCATCAGTTTTATCGATAGAAAAATCATGCCCTCTTTTCAAGGAGCTGTATGCTCACTTCTTTTTTCAAATGCGCGAAATTGTTGAATACAATTTGAAAGAGTCGGCACCAAGTAGTGCAAAACTAGTAACAAGTAAAAATAAACAGCAGCGTCAACGACGACGAGTTGCTTTTTATTTCGGTTTCGTTGGTGAAGCAGTTCAAACAAATAAAACAATTTGTTTGTTATGTGTTTAAGTTGTGAAACGATTTAGCAGCGTTTAAATTCAACATGAATTTGTAATTGATGAAAAAATATGCGCGCACTCACAAAACATCAAAAATTGATCGAAAGCAACATATTTAAGCAAGTACACCGCCAATTGGTTGACAGCAATAAAATTTATTATTTGATTTAAAACGTAAGAAAACTGCATACATTATATTATATATGTTTGATTTGTTCACATGATGACAACCATTACCAATCGACAAATTTGCAAGAATGTTTCCGAAACGGCGCCACACCAAACTTAATACATTTTTTTTTCTTGAAAGGCACATAAATCATAACATTGCACAGACACAAAGACCGCACAACATTCTGTGTGACATAGCCGATATATAGCGAATCGGATTGTGCCTTCTTTTTATCATAGAACAACCATTAAGAGGTATTCATACGATCTGTTCTTTAAAAAAAAAACTGAAAAGTCACCCAAGAAATCCAAACACAAAAAGAACGAAGAGAAGAGTAGAAAAAAACCATTGAAATTTAGTTGTAGAACTGTAAATGTTAACAAATATGCTAAACGCTGTGTGTATATATTTTCATGCATATGAAGTAATAATATGTTGCCAAATACTCGCTGATAGTTGTTTAGTTGTATCGTTTTGTTTCGTTTCTTTATTTTAACGCGTTTATTCACCCATTTAAACTGCTGGCTAGCGTTATTCGTGTGTGTATTGTAAAATTTCAGTAGTTTTATACACATATGTTATAAATACAAATGTTGTAAGCAGCATCGTATGGTTGTGTTGGTGGGTCCAAATCTAGTTGACTAGTCGGTATGGTATGACGGTGCGGCAATATTTGGATTACACCACACGCGTTTTGTTCATATTCGTTTTAAACGAAATAACATTCAAACGAATAACACACATACACATACGTCGTCTTCATTTCAAACACAAGCAGAAATGACCTTTTGAATAAATCAAATAAGAATTTATGCAATGAATCTAACAGTGTAATTGCTCAAGCAGTAGAATTTTTTCGGGGATTTCTCTCTCTCGCTCGCTTGCTCACTCGTTCACTCTTTGTTTCTGGTGTGCTTTGGCAAGTCGGTTCGTATTTTTTTTCTGTACGAATTTATCTCTTTGGCTCGTCGCATTTGAAATGAACAAAGAATTAACACAATCAACTAATTTGCATGAATTCAAGTCCATATAGTATGTGTGTTCATTTCGTTTTTCGGCCAAAAATTCTTGCGCCAAAGCTGAAATCACTCAAATTAAGTGGGTAGCACGAATTGATTTCGTTGCAAAATCCCCTCGAAATCGCAATATGAACAAAAAAAAAATACACAATCTTTTTTTTGATGTAATCAATGAAATAATTTGTATAGGGACAAAAAAAAGAACCTCTCTTGCGCAATTTGTCGCGATTAAACTGGAATGTTCAAATTCAAATAAAAAAGTAAATATTGACAATGGCGTGCGCGCTCGATAACACGAATTGCTATGGGAACATCAAATACTGTTTTTTGTTCGCTTTCTTTTCCATTCTGTTGTGTTTGACGTACATTTTAACAATCGTTCTTGTTATCAATTAATTCAATAAAGAGTGGTATGGTTCTTATTGAATAAGGAAAACATAAAAGGAAATTGTTGCATAGCACTGTAACCATGATAACCGTATAAATTTGCATTGCAAAACGTAACTGATTGAAATTTGTTGGTGTCGTTCTTCAATTGTTACGATAAGAAAATCATAAGCAAGAATGGATGAAATGGATGAACCAACAGCCAGCACACCACAATGTTGAATAATTACTGTTTTGTCTATAGAAAAACAGTTACGTGAGAAATGGGTAATCGAGGCAAACGCCTAAATACCGTCATCTTTTCGTATTCAACTTATGCAATTTCGAATTACGTGAATATGCTAATCGCGTTTCTCTACCGCTCTCTGCCTCTTCTGTTCAATGTAGAAAAGAATACAGCTACTGTTCTTGACATTCATTCCGGTTTTGTATTGTTATATGACTGTGTGTACAAATTGTTGCAAGCACCCATCACTTGATGTGTGTTGCACAATATTTCGAGATTCCAGTGCTGATGCCAAGCGCAGAATAATTTTTTATTTGTTGTCTCTTTCGCATGTTGATTCTTCTATTTCGTGTAGGTATTTAGCACGTGTCGCAAGAAGGTGAGCGAAAAAAAAAAAACAAAATACTCGGCGTACAAGAGTGCAGGAGAACCGACAAATGTTTGCAAGACAAAGTAAGTAGAAGCAAATCATTCAATACAAAGTTCGAAATCTGTCTGTCACTGTATCTGTTACACGTGCAACCATTTGAATATTGATGATTTACTTTGTAGCTAATAAAATGAAAAGCAAAGAATTATGTCGCAATAATAAAAAGAGTACATCAGTTTTAATCCGTGATAAGTTCTGATCGTAAGTAATAATCGTACACGATTTCGTGCCAAGAAATTGATAAGCTTTGACTTTATTACATGGAACTTGCGAAATATGACGAAAACAAAATAATAACGCGCACCGCGCGCACACATAAAACTTGGTGACTTAGTGCAATTTTGAAAATACCACAATTTCATTTTTGCACATTAAGCGACTCTATTGAACAAACCATAAACGCATCACACAAATGTTATTGCATATGAAATATTTGTATACTTTGACGAAAAAAAAACTGCAACCGAGAAAAGAAGAAGAAGAAGAAAAATTTTAACCACAAAATAGATATCATTTGCTCAAGTATTGGGCAGCAAGTGTGTGTGTGTGTATTTGGTGTATGCGTATGGCTTAAATTATGAAATGGTGTCGAGGTGTTACGCGATATATTTTAGTGCCATTGTTGCCATTGCTGAAGGTTATGAGAGAATGAAATATATGCACACGTAAAGTGAGTGAGAGAGAGAGAGAGGTATACTCATGTATATATATATGTGTATTTATTTAAAAAATACATACCGCGCGCATTTACCACTTACATTATTATGATCATATTCGAGTAATAACAGCGCAATGCGGCCACCACAAGCCAAGAGGAAATTTTCATTAAATCGTTTCAACAACACGACGATAGTAATACCAACAATCAACGGGATTGTTAACAATAGCCATGGTAAGTATACCACGGACTTTTGTTTATTCTGTGTGCAATTGTTTCTTGTTTCTCTCTCTCTTTCTCTCTCTCTTTTGCTGCGGTTATTGTTGTTTTTGCTGAGCGAAAATGTTAAACGGAAACGTTTATAATAAATTTAACGCAGTATTGCCTGTGTAATTTTCAAACATTGAAACTGAACGAAACAACAACAAAAAACCCGCTACCGTTCAACATTTCATTATAAGGTGTATTTTATAGGTATGTTTCAATTTTGACGTTCAATCCACTTATCGCATTCCGTTATGTGTGCTCAAAAAGTGCACTTTCGTCTCTTTCGATGATAAATCTAATCGAAACGGTTCGCCAAAGCGTGATCGCTTTTGTCTTTCAAATATGCCTTCACTTTGCAAAACGTCACCGAAGTTCGCACTACACATAAAACATGCATGGAGCAAGAAGACAAAAGCAGCAGTAACAACAACAAAAAAATACCAAATTGTGCAATGACCTATTAAACTTGAAATTCAGTTTTGCTATTGTACCACGGCTGTGTGTATATAAACGCATTTCGTATACTTTTTTTTCTCTTTAAATAAATAACGCTCGTGAATTCCGAATAATTTTTTTTGTGTTGTTTAGCTTGTGTAAACTTATTTCATATATATGTATATATTTTTTTCATATCTTGCGCATATATACTACAACACACTGCCTTGAATTTTAGACGAAAAATGACATTGCATATTTACAGTGTTTTACAATGCGCGATGAAATATATCATAAATTCGATTTATTTATTCGCTTAATGTTTCATTATGATATTGTTTTTAATCTTTTTTTCTGTTTCTCTTTGCATCGAGTCATTTATTTGAATATTTATATGCAGTTGATGAATTGAGTGCCGCGGGAATAAACAAAGGCGTAAAGTAAACATATGCAATTTTGAATACATCGATTAAGGTGTTATAACTTGTCTGCTTTGAAAAAAAAATTTTTCATAGAAATAATGGTTGTAGAGCACTTACCTTTCAGCGTCGGCAAAGACAAATTTCCTGAGTTTGAGATCTCGTAACACAATGCCTTGTTCATGACAACTTTTCACAACCTCACACATCTGACGAAATAGACGTTTTGCCTCTGGCTCTCGCAAACGCTTGCGCACACGCACATATGAATGGAGATCGCCCTGAACAAAAACAAGAAAAAACGCACCGTAAAAAAAACTCATATCAGAAACAAATGTTACCGAAGTGAGAAAACGGCAATCCTCAATATGATCGATCAATCTTACCTGTGACGGAGTGAAAAACAAATATGTTTGGGTGGAACCTTGAATCACTTTGTGTAATGGATTAACGTGCGGATGTCCATCTAATCGAAAATGAGCCGACAATAGATTTGTGCACGGATTATTGGCAACCTAAATCAATCGAAAAGAAAACATTAAAAATTGTGGAAAAAAAAGAATTTTGAATCTAGAAATCTAATAAATTAAATGATATTTCATAGCACCATTTCATAGAAGCACATATTGCTAGACAACATTCTCAAGTTGAAACGGAAATGAGAAATAATTTATTTCCCTTTGAAAATGATTCATCCTGTCGGTGAACAGTATTCAATGTGATTGGTGTGTTCATTTTACGTAACAGGACTTAATATTTTGTTGATGATATCGCTGTATCGTGTGTGTTTACGCGTAAATGTAAACAATTTCGGAAAGGAAACTTTACGGTTATTGCGTTACACCGCATACATTTACCGCATTTACGATTAAGCAGCGAATAGAAATTGCCGCTATGCGATTAAAGAGAGCATTTTTTTTTTCAAAAGAAAAGAAAAGGAAACTAGACAGTATCGCTCGCTTCGATTTCAAAGCAATAGAAACAGAGATAAAGAGACAGAGTCAGACAGACGAATAATGTAAGAAAACAAAGAAACCGATATGAAATTGTAGAAAACGAATAAGAAGAAGACACAAACAGCGATGTGAAGAACAAAGAAAATGGGTCGGCTGCGACGACCATCGTCAACAAATTAAATATGATCACCGTAGAATCAACAATTGTGCGTTTTGTTTGTCGAAATTGAATTTATATATAAACACGTATCATTTTATATTATGATTATTATTATATTACTTGGTATTTTGTTTTTTTTTTTTGTTTAACTGTTTTCATTCTGCATATATTTGAATAAGTTTGTTGCCGATAGGTTTGGCGTTGAACGAACGATTTTGAGAACGAAACTTATTCTATATACCCGCAGAATGAAGGGGACAAACAACTTTCAGATTGCATGGGAAAAGAAGTGAAGAGAAAAATGTAAACACGTATTGCGACAAACACTGTTTCGAAAAGTTGATCTGGGACTGGGTCATGTGTTTAAATGTTGTGAACTATGTGTGTTTATTTCTTTGATTGCTCCAGTTTTACTTTGAATATGGGGTTTTACTTTTTAACACGTATTTTTCTCCAGCATTGCAATTTGTTGTGTGAGAAGATGCGTGCCCAATCTCTCGACCTAGTGGCATTCTTTTTCTCGAAAAAAAGAATTGATGCTAGACACTGATTATCTTTTTTTATTCTTGTTTTGTTCTGAATGATTTCGAAACAGCACTCCAGTTTTGACTTTGACAAAACTCGCACCGATAAATTGCGAACAAACAATTTTATCGGTAATTTTCAATCGAAACCTTGCATTAAGAAAACGAGAAATAAAGTCAAAAGAGACACACATACACATATACAATGGGAGAGATAGACGAGATAGAGAGAGAAATAGTACACGATTTGGTGCAATGGATAAATATGCATCACCTTGAGATAACTCGATGATTGAACGTTTGAATAATTTTTCATCATACAAACCGGCGGTGTTACGCAAGTCTAATTAATCAATTGCTCTGAAACTGTCTTTCTTAATCATCGATCGAATTGAGAAAATGCCATAAAATTTATGTGTACAGAAAGAATTTACAAATAACTAATAAAAAAAAATACGGCGCAAAAAACCCAAATCAATTTGTGCGTGTGTGTGCGAGCGCACGGGAGAGAGTATATGTGTGAACTTTACTGTGTTTGGCTTCTCATAACGTAGCCATAAAATGATCGAACCAAATGATATTGATCAATTTCGTAAACAGTTTCTAGCGCGCGATCAATACATTGCCACGCTAATTTCATCATCTGAGCAAAAGAGAACACACGATACCAAAAACACGATCTCTTCTATACAATTGCGATCTTGTTCTAACCCAACAAGGTGCTGTTGTTCGTAGCGAGCGTTTTTTTTCGCACAGACACAACACACCAAACGTACGATCGATGACGATATTTGCAAAAAAAATCTATTAATACGTTCTAATTGACACGTCGCACATTCGCTGAAATGATGTAAGCGTATGGTCGCTCTTGATTTTTGTTTACAATGCGATAAATAAAATCACCGCCAACTCTATAACGCCACTGAAATGCGCGTACGCACCTCGAGACTAAGAACCGAAACATTCACTTCAACTGGAATGTTTTTTTTTGTTTTATTATTTAATATCGGACGCATAAAAATCGTGACTTTTTGCACGTAATGATTGGGTGTGGAAACCGTGATTTTAATGCTCTTTTTTTCTGTTTTAAATTTCAGTTCACGAACTCTCAATGCGTCTAATAATGCATCTTAATCGTTAATAAACACAACAAATATAATAATGTTAATAATTACATTTAACGTTTAATTATCTCGGTGACGTTTATTTGTAAAATAAATGCTCAAAACAAGTTCGCAAATAGAATATCGCTACAAATTCATGTCAAAAATTTGCGATGTCATTTAATAAGAATAAACTTGGTCATAAATGCAAAAAAAATCGGAACAATATATGTATTTTAACGAATTTTTCTTAATTGAGCAAAATCATATATCCTTTCCGACATTTTCTGAGAGCTGTGATTCGTTGGAATTGTAAAGAACCAAATTACATGACAAAATGCAACCATTAACCATTTTCGGCGAATAATTAAATTAATAAAATGATGTGGCTTTTTAATTTTATTTTTTGCCTTATCATGACGTAGTCATACTGAAGTGGTGGCCTGAGTGACATGTCTATATATTTATTTATCATTTAAAAGTCGTCATCTCGTGACGTTCATCGTACGATACGAAAAAAAATGTGACTTACGATGATGCTTTGATATGGCGTGAGTGTTTGTGTGTGTGCTTCACTGTACAAAAATATCTAATTTAGAAAAGATCTGTTTTCAAGGGAACAAACAACACTTTTCCGAGTTGTTATCAAGCACATACAAATTGGAGATGTTTTAAGTGTTCGAAAATGTTAATGCGGAAGCATAAGTGCGTAGTAATAAAGCCAAATGATGTGAGCTTGCTGTTGGTGAGTATGTATGTATGTAGAGTTTTGGACTTTGAAAAAGAAAACAAATAACGTACGACAATAGCGTAATAACATCGCGTGCCTATCAAGGTTAACCAACATACGAAACATTCGAGACAACTTTACATCATAATGAAAGTGATTTAAAGACTATTTACTACGAACAGAATCGCGCACCACAACATTTATTCCAGGAAGTAGAAAAGTTTTTTATTTTTTACACTTCTGTTGAATAATGTCTATTACGAAGTACTTTTTTTTAACGCATCACAATTCTTGAAATAAGTTGCTTTGTCATGCAATTTATCTTATCATATTGTTTCTTATTAAAAGAGATACCGAATCGGGTGCTAATCAAAATCTAACAATGAAACATCCAATTCAAATAACAATGATAACACATACCTTGCAAACGAGCTCCTCGTGTGTTTTCACATCAATACATTTGTACAGTGTACTTCCTTCGACCAAATCCAATAGTAGATATCGTTCGGCCAATAGAGCTGCGTTCATTTGTTGCACAAGTCCATTTTGATTGTGGATGAGTGATCCATTTGTGCTAGATGTTGTGGCATTTCCCACCGAGTTATTAACGCCAACCGTAAAATGCGTGCCATTATTTGCTTGCATCAAAGAATTGTTGATTGCAATCGAAGCGGGCAGCTGTTGTAATGGATATTGTTGATAAGATTGTATTTGCTGTGGTCGAATGATGTGCGATTGCTGTTGTTGTTGTTGCTGCTGCAGCTGTTGTTGTTGCATGGATTGTTGCATTGGAAATGGTCTTTGAATCAATTGCGGTGTTTGTGTTAGATTTTGTTGATTTACTTGCTGGAGCAATGCATTAGTGAGCGCTGCAACACGTTCATTTACAATGTTTCCGGTGTTTGCGTCGAAAATGCGATGGTGAAGGCATTTCTTTTGTTGTTGTTGGATCTGTTGCTGAACAGCCTGGACAACTGGTTCGCCATGTTGACCTTGACTCGGATTCAATTGACGAATATCGCCTGACGATACCAGCTCATCAGGCTTATCGGCTGCCGTATTTGTTGCGACATTCGAATTCGATGTATGTGAACTTTCCATGTTTATTTTATTCTGTGGTTGGTTTTTTTTATCACTTCCTTTGTTGTCTCGTGCGGCTTTTATTTTTATTCCACTCTGCTTTTTTGTGGTCAACTGATTTCAGCTATCACAAGGGGGATTTTTAAATGAATTTTATTTACAATTCAAATGAAATCGAATACACTTTTTTTCGCTCTTTTGATATAACCTCTTCACAGCGAACTGATAGTAATGCAATTACTTTCTTTTCTGTTCAAGACAACATCACTTTTTTGTAAAAAAGATCCCTTTTTAAATGATAATTAATCTTTCAATTTTTTATTCACTGATTTTTTGCGTAATCAAGATAATTTAAATAATTTCTTTTTCGCAATTCTTTTGTTCTATAAATGTTTCATTTCACTGTTTATTTGATAGTTTAAGCTTGGATAAGAGCTGCTCTATGTTTCTGTCGACGAAATATTCAAATGTGTTTTAAAGATAGATAGTATTTGAAGCTCAGGTCGTTTATACAATTACTTTCTTTTTGGTTCAAAAAATAACACTTTTTGAAAAAATCTCTTTTAAATGATATATAATCGTTCGATTTTTTCACTAATCTTGTGTAATTGAGAGTGTTTAACTTTTTTTCACAATTTTTTTTCTATAAATGATTCATTTCAATGTATAGAAACTGTTTAGTAGATGGTTTAGGATAAAACCGCTTACAATTTATATCGACGAGATATTTAAATTGGTTTCAGGAATACATGATGTTTGAAGCTCTGGTCGTTCAGCAGATGGTTACGGTTTTACATGTGTTTTGTGCTGTTAATTGCACAATAATTCAATAGTTTTGCGCAGTTAACTGACCATTTATCCACAGGATCGCACATAAAAAGAAAGGAAATCGTTTGATATTTAGTAAAATATAATTAGATCTACAAATGTTCTCAAATCCTCTAATTTTGGTGTGAATTTTTATTGATTTCTACTAATAAATGATGATTTGTGGTGAAATGACAAATTCATCGACATTAGGTGAACTCCAACTTAATGCACAATAATTTTGTATTTTAATTTCAAATTATTTTCCGATGACTTGCGTGACATGTTATTTTTTTTATAGAATCATTGAAATGTGCTGAATCAATATGACTTGAATACTTTATATTTTATCAATTTATTCTATCTTTCTGATAACACATGACATTTTAGTTTTGTTTTTCATATGATGTACTACAAGATCTATGTCTATGGCATTAAAATGTTCAAAATATATGCAAAACTCTATGTCTCTCCCGGAAAAAACCTGAAAAGTTGAAAACTGAAAACCGGGTCGATAATTTCAGTAAAAATGTCACTGCGACACAGGCTATTATTTGTAAAACAAATTCATTTCAAAACAATTGTTAAATTGACACATTTATTGCATCACATTAGCCAAACATATCGTCATAATGATGAAAATAGACGGTGATTGTTGCACCCAATAATGTAACTTTATCGTTTCCAACTAAAAGATTATTTTATATCTTTCGTGGTTTTCAACATATTTCCTTATCACACACACACACTGCTTCCACCGTAGTTACCGATTATCACTAGCACACATATGCATGCAGCGAGTTATATTTTTTATGTTTTATGTTGACAATGTCATGAAAAAAAAACCGAATCGGCTTAGTAAAAATGATCAAACTCCGACGCACACCTTTCAAAATCAAGAGCGAAACCGAGAAAGGCCCATATTGTACACGTTCACATTTATGGAATAAATTTCAATGTCAACGTTGCGATGCATTAAAGGAATTAAAAGAATTGAAAATAAAGTGAATGGCAGTATGTAAAGGGCCCGAAAATACAAACACACGATGTGGGAGCGGGCTGGCTTTTAGTATTTCTGGTGTGGCCCTCAATTTGCTTTAGCAGAATATTTCATTTGGAGCATCAATTGAGCCGTGCCCGCACCACATACACACATTCGACGCCACGGACCGCACCAAAAGGAAATTGCGGCTAATAAAGTCTACAAATCGCTAAAGAATATTGGGCGTTGCACGGAATTGAAATTGTGAACCAAAGGTGTGGAGAAAAAATGTCAATAAAAATAAAAAGAACTCAACTCGGCTAATTATCTCGCGACGGTTGTTTTTTAAAACTTATTCTATTCGTTTGTATTCTTGCCGGTGTTTTTTTTTTGCACGAGCATTGCCATTGAGAACGCGTGCTTATCTACTAATTCTATTTGTATTGTTCATACATTGCGATTCCGTTGACAAACATTTCAAATGGAATTGTGTTCTATGTATAACAAAAAAAATTGTTGTATTGTTTCACCAATCCTTTGTGCTGCTTAATTTATTGTACAGTGAAAAGAAACCGTTGCCATTCTATTCTAAACTATGTACACGAAAATCGAAGTAGATTGTATAACAAAAGAATTTGAACCGTTAGAATGCACAACATAAAAGACAAAGATATTCATGTAATTTCTACTCTTTTTTTTCTGGATCGTTTGTGTTCTTCGCTGCAATCTAACTTCGTTCTATCCAGCAGTAATGCATTCAATGTGGAATTCTTTTGTTGTCTTCAAATTGATTCAGATAAACTTTTTACGATTCGCGATTAAAAATGCTTTCATTGAGTTGATTCTTTTGTTCGTGCGTCTGTGTGACGTGTGATAGAAAGAAACAAGTTCGCAAATCACAAGTCCATACATGCACACACAAGCAAATCAAAAGGTAAACCACTTTATTGAAATGTGAATGAATTTAGTTTGTGCAAGCCCAAGAATGAATGTAACTTTTAAAAAAACGCATTCTGTTGAGTTGAGAAACACGCCTAAGTTCTAAAGAGCACATTGCACTACCAAATGTGGTGAAATATTTAAGCGATCACCGAACGTGATTTGAAATAAGAAAATGGGGTTGTTTAAACGGTCATTGAACCAAAAGAAGGCTAAGGTAAACGTGCATTGTAATGCACTTCTTATGAGGGGTGCTAAGTGCATATTCACTGTTCAGTACGGCACCAAGCAAGTCAAATGCTGCAATCCACTGTGTACGTGTTTTTCCCCTTGACGCATTCATATTTGACTGTACACGCAAGTGTACTTTATATACAGTAATTTTTTATTTTTGGCAGCGATAAATTCAATTTCGACAAATTGTTTATACGTATATGGATCGTTTGAACCAAATGACTCATTGTGACTGTGGCGGGTTTTTTTCTTCTCCATTAGAAATTACTCATATTCATGTGTGATTCAGATAATATATAAACATGTCAAAACATGACGGGATTGCATTCTTGGAATGTCTAATTTTGTTATTGTGTATCAATAATGAAATTCATTGAAGACGCAAAATTTTCTAAGGTCCAAATGCTGTAGAATCATCGTACATAAGTCGGATGAGCAAATCTTTTTCGTTTTGAAATGGTTGCCGTAAGAAATCACCTTTAAGAACGACTGCGATTACTTATGCATAACCAGAATTTCATTGATAAATAAGTCCGGTTTATTTTTCAAAGCCCCTACGGGAATTTAAACCGATTTCAACAAGTGAACACCATTGATGCATGAAAAAACATGAATATGAGCAAATCACTTAATCACCATTTACGGAAGAAATCTTATGAGTTTACTATATCCATCCACACACAATGAATGCATGGATGAGTCATTTAAATTCGGTTTTAAAACAAAAAATCATGTGAAAACCAAAAAATGCAGCACGAAACAAAGACAACGTTTATTAAGAACGTTCAAATATTTCTCTTCCAAATTCGAAAATACAAAATAAACACACAAACGAAATGCATTGTTCTTAGCACTGTGAAGGTTAAATTATATTCCAGTTGCCATGTGAAGTTCATTTGTTCATCATTCGGCTTAAAAACACCAGCAAAAGGGGCTAACGAATTGCCTGCATATATTTTTTTTGTAGATAAGAAAAGGTTGTATAATGAAAGATAAACAAAATAGATACAAAGTTGAAATCCTGATTACACATGCTTTTTCAAAAGTGAAACACAAAGATTGGTTGAAAATAAAATGCAATGGGATGATTCTATATGCTGGAAGAAGCTATAAAAACATGTATGAGCTTATGTTATTTCTCAATTTAGGACTTTCTTTTTGAGACAATCATTTAAGTTTGTATGGTTTACATACGGAATTTGAATAAATTGAGAAAAGGTGAACAGTTTAATTTCTTATTTTGTGCAGTGAAAACAATTTTGCCATTTGTAAGCAGTTACATGTGTGCTCAAAATCGGAATTTAATATAATTTCTTCTTGTTTTTAGATGAACTACAAATGATTCGTAACATCAAAGACGAATAAGATCACGCCAATGCTTGAAAAACCGTGTAATTATCTACGTCAATTTTTTTCAATTGAACCTTGTTAGATGACATTCTGTGCTCAGTCAGAGCGTAGGATTGCTTCAATGCAACGCTTTGTGTGATAATTTTTTTTTCTGTGTTGTGTATTTCCATTGTTGTTTCGCATAAATTGAAATTTTATACGTATAAAAATGTGACTGAAATGTTAAAATTCAGTAAACCTTCGTGTGGAAGAAAAAAAACTCCTTTTTGTTTCGGAATCTTTGTTTAACAGTGCCTTTGTTGTGTTTTTTTTTTGTTCTGACAACTTTTTTCTCTCTGTTTTCAATTAATTTGAACAAATTGCGATATCACCGCCAACTCGATACTGCATTGCACATTGGGCAGTCATTTTTTCTGTTCGAGTGTAAAATCATCATCCCAAACGGATTAAATGACTTTGCATTCTGTTTATAGCGCTCGAAGTCTATGAACGAATGTCGTCTGTAACGCTACGACACTGTTTACAAAACATTTTTTTTCTCGCCCAATTTTATTGTCGTTATTTGCTTTGCATCTGTGTCTCTAGTTCGAGCGTATTTTTTTTTTGCACAAGCGCCAGTCGTGAGTAAAGCTGACCAAAGTCTTACTATGCATCGCGTAATTGAGTAGCATGCAAAGGCCAATAATGTAATTTCCATGCTAATTGGTAATTCCATTCTTCGGAACCATTTTTTTTTTCATTCAAATTTTTATGATGAATTTATCAAGATTTTTCCTTCTCGTTTTTAGATTACACTTTGATGATATCGAGGTAAAAAAACAAAGAGACGTTTATTATCGAAACGTTTTTTTAAAAGTATATGATATCGGTGGTCGCTGTGAAGGTTGTATGCGAGATTGTCATATACAATACGTGATAAAAAAGAACGTCGTCTCGAGGCAACAGTTTGTCAGTATTTACATTCGCACATTTGATTTGTTGAAGCCGCAATGCTTTTGTGTGTGGTGCAAGCACACTCTGCTATGACCTTGAAATGTTTGACTTTTCGGTTCTCCTTTCAGCATCGGGTTTTTGGCGATGCAAAATAACAACAACAACAAAATCAACTAGACACTATTTTCGACACCGACAATTTTCAATTTCAATCAAGACATGTTTGTGTAATGTCATTTATGTATGTGTATGAACCGACCGAATTGGATGATTTTGAATGAGAGAGAAAAGGTCAAATGAATTTTGGTCGAGTTTTCTATATAAAATGTCATGACCACAAACTGACAATCATCTCCAATCGAATTCCATTTTTCACGTATCTTTTCTTCTTGATTTTTTTTGTAATTTCGATATTGGAACACAAAACCACTCGATAATTGAATTATTTGCTTTTTTCCCCTCTTTTAATTATCAGCATTTCCGATAAAGTAAATTGAATTATCAACTGACTAATTAGAGGCAAATGTAATTGAATTAAAGTGCGGCTTATTTCAATCACTTTTTTTTTATTTTCAAATAAATGCATTTTTGCTGCAAACAATGCATATTCAATTCGTATCCACATCAATTTATAAAATATATCTACTTAATTTAAAATTTAAAATATTCGGTCGATTTCAATGCAAGAACGTGCAGTGTTGAAAATATGATGTGCTTATGAAGTAATTGGTTGACCACATAAAAAAAAATGTGCTAATACTTTGAGAATGGATGATTGGTGTCAAATTTCAAAGTCAAACGAAACATGAAATAAATTACTATCTAAATCTATCTCTATGAAATAGCATACAGCGCAATGATTGCGTATATGAAAAAGACACTACACACAAGTGGATGTGCGACAATAATTTTGCCATATTGTTTCACTGTGTATGTGTGTGTGCTTGTGATGTTGTCTATTGATGAAGAGAGAGAGAGAGAGAGAGAGAGAGAGAGAGAGAGAGAGAGAGAAAAACACACTCATCTCTGTGGCAAAAACAAGTTTCAGCAATCATGCATAAGTAATCAATTCGATTGCGTTCTGGAGGCTAAATTTTGAATTAAAGGTGAACCAAGGTTTTGCGAACTCAAAAATGTATAATCGATTTGACTGTATATGAATAAAGGTCTTTTAGCGTTATGTGTGGCACCATTTTTTTTCCACTGTTTATTGCTCTTTGGCCAAATGTTTCATATTCGATTTCGTCAAAGTCGCACACAGACACATTTAGCACTTGAAAAATTGCAATTTAGAGAACATTTGGTAATAATAATGTGAAGTTTTTTTTTTTTATTGCCAAAGTTCTCTCATGTCATGGATTGTAATATGACCAATTGCTGATCTATGTGACATCTTCTTTTGAATAAGAAACGCCACAAATCAGAAGACTATTTGAGAAATTCCACGAACAAAGCAATAAAAATGTACATTTATGTGCAACGCCAAGAGAAATTCTTTTATTGTCGCAATGAGTTTCCTTGATGAAGAAAACCAAACATAAAAAAGAACGGATAAAATAAGACAAAAATGTTCAATGTAAGCCGACGAATACACCGATGATAATTGTGCACACACAGAAAGTATGAGAGAGAGAACAAAGTGCACAACAAGGGTCGAACTAGGTGACGTGAAAGCAATAAAACGACCAAACATACGGCTTTGAGTCGCACAAAACATGTTTGAAATCAAACTGTCCACATTTCTTTTTTACTTTGTCCTTTCTGCACTTTCTATTCCATCTCTCTCTCTCTCTCTCTCTCTCGTGTCAAAAGGGATACGTGTTCGTATGTCGTGTGAACACTATTGCTTTGTGCGCACAGAGAACCTCGTAGTGTATATATCGTTGCTATGGTGCATGTTGCTATCCACTTAATAATTTCCACTTTAAACAACAGGATATTGTCAATCTCATTTTATATGCATCGAACAAAAGGCAGAATATTTCACGGTTTTGTCGATATGTCATCATTCGGCATAAATTAAAAATTCGCATCATAATATGAGAGATGCTCAAATAAACCCGATACAATGTGCCGATTGATATTCCTCTATCAACACTGTCCGATGTTGTACGGTCATGTTTGCACATACCACAATCGATGACAATCACATCATCCAATGAGAGACTTAATTTCGGAATATTAGAACATCAAATTATTCTAGATAGTTACTTTCTCATAAACAATCTGCTTGTTTGTTTTCATTTTTTTTATTTTCATTGAACACAACAAAACATTGTCGTACGTTTTCATTCTGTCTCTTTCATTCTATCATTCTGGCAAGTAGGAGCATATGGAAAAAAAAATACACGCCGCTCCAAATTTTCGTAATATTTTTTTTTTCGTTGTTATTCTTTCAATATTTACTACGTTCACTCGTAAAAATGGTCGCGATTTGATACAAACGCAATAGAGAATACGAGACAGAATTTTAAGTTGTAACATTTTACACCATATGGAGGTCACGCGTATTTTCATAACAGAACCAATATAGAATATTTTTCATTCTCTTTATATTTTTCGCAATTTTTTACTGTCATTTTTGTTTTCGCATGCCATTTTTGCTTTGATGTTGTTGTTTAAATTTAAAAAAACTTTTGTGTTTTAATCGAACTGAATTTAATGTGTCACGTTGTTATTAACAAACGTAATAAATGCTATATGCATATTTATGAATGTAGCTTTTAATTCGTTCGGCACTAAAATTGTGTACTATTTCACTTATCTTGCATGCGCAAAAAAATACGATTTACATGAACTAATTTATTTTGTGAATTTCATCATGGATTTTTATATTGGTCATAAATTTGGCGCACGGCATGATGTATGATGGACATTTTGCGCCGGTTGCATCCGCAAGTATAGAAAGGATAACATTTTTTTCACGTGATAAGAACATTTGCACAATGATTACAATGAAATGAGCTGAAATCATTTGCCGAAGCAAAAATCAGTTCAATATAATTTAGATTCGATCGATGATAATAATGAATCAACACAAAATCAACAGTTTTTCTATCAAAAAGTGTATGTTCACACAAATGTCACTAGCAAAAGACAACCGAAATTCAAATAAAGAACAAATACCTTATTGAACTGTTTTAAGGAACCAAGCGTCCAAATTCACTCTCAAAAATAAAATATATTTGCCACTTGAAAACAAAACGATTTTATACGGCAGATGCATAAAATCAAACACTGTGCAATATTTGCGTTCTATTAGGTATACGTATTTATGATGCGAAGAAAAAAATGCGAAATCTAAACAAAAAAAATGAACTACAATAGAAGTGAGGAATATTTATTGTAACGTGATGAAAATTCCGAAACACATGCTAGCTTTGACGGCCATTTTCAAACTGAACTGTGATAGCATTGAATAAACCAACGATACTCTCTTTCATCGTTCACAAAATACATATGTCTACGCCATAAATGCTTGACGCTAGCGACGCTAACGTAACCATGTGGTTTCTCTCTTTTATTTCGTTTGCCCGTTTCTCTGCAAAATGCGGCAGACTGTACGTTAGCACAACTTTGAATGAAATGTACGCGGTTTTCGGTGTGTCTCTCTTTCTATTCATATTATTTTGCTCTTCGATGCGGCCAACGATGTCGTTTCATGTATTCCGAATGTGTACAATGTGCTTTGGTTTAACCTTCTCACGGGCTATTTCATCACATCTTTTGTATATACTTTACGAGAGAGGAACAAAAAATGTATGAATACACACTTACACGCTACCTGAACATTTTTGTTGAAGAGAATACAGAGCAAAGCGCAGTCGAATGCGTACGAATTTACTACCGTTTCGTTTGGGATGCGAACTCAAAGTATACGCACGATACGACATGTTTTATTGTTGTTGGAACATTCGAATACCATGATTATTCGACGTATATGAATAATACGACGAAATATCGTTTTATGTTGTAATTGAAGGCAGCGTCATCCTATATTTCTCAACGTAGCGTCATACCGTTTCCATTGAAACTGTTTACGGCGTTGTTTACTACACATTTTTACACTACATGAAATGTTGACTATTTCTCTGTTTTACTTAACAAATTAAACACAACAAACATGGATTATACTAAATTTTTCGAAATTGAAATCAAACTCACATTTAGTGTAAATCAAAAGATTTTCTCCCGGAACAAGGAGGGTCCTAGGAACAAGGAGGGTTTTTCATTATGAAAAAAAAAAATCAAAATTACAGGGGAAGGGGAGAACTGTCTCAAAAGTTCCTAGAAAATCGGAAGATTTTTCTCGCGTCAAAAACGACTAGTAAATTTGAAGAATTGACACTCAACATTTTTCCACAATTTCCAAAAGCATATTTCAAGTCTTTTATATAGAGTGGTAATTCGGCCTCTCTGACTCCTGGACAGAAGCTTTAATTAGATAATATAATTATAAAATTATTTTTAATCGAAAGAAAAATGACGGAACGAACATGCACAACTTAAACAAATCTTAACGTGCTTCTTGTTCAGTTGTCATTCACAATGTTCATGTCTCGTTCACAATGGAAATATCAGCTTGTTCACAATAGTAATACCAAATGAATCAGTTTGAATGTAAACAAGCCATTGACTTGACATTTCATCATGTTATGACAGAAAGAATTGTATTTCTTCATCATTCATTCATTTTGTAAGTAATTTCTAAAAAAATTCACGGTATTTTTGTGTTGTTTTTATCTTAAAATTCGAATTGATGCAATAAATATGTCTTAATGGTAAATAATTCATCTGTTTTCCCTTTATTTCACAATAGCATGTAAATACTACAAATTGTAAATACTACAAATACGAAAATACGCAGAATGGTTGATGACGTGTTGTATTATATCTTGGTGCTGTTGACACTATTGCCGGTGTATTTATTTTTCAAGCTAATCCAGTGGATGGGATGGGAGCTGTTCGTAAACAATTAACGTGATAAAAGTCACTCAAATTTCATTCAATTGAGTCAATTTCGTCATTCACGTAAGCTGATGATGTTTATTAAGTTATTTTTTTTAAAATTAAATATTGCGTGTACGTCTATATTTGCATATGTATGATTTTTTTCAGTATTGACAAAAATGCTGTGATTAATAACCGCTTAAAGCCGTAGCAGATGGATAATGACTGCGGTAAAACATGCAACGTTCTCGATCGAGTTGCAGTGTTCGACGCTTCAGCAATAATTCACGTTCGATTAAGATTCGGGTTTGATTCAAGGCAGTTCTTGTGTCTTCGGCTTCTTTGATCGAGATCGATAGAGCCAATGTGGCTTCTTCAATGCTACGGACCTCTTCTACCAGACCAAAATGGGCACGATCACGGCAGTTTTCCACATTTACACGGCGATTACGATTATCAAGACGGGTCTGAGCCACTTTCATCGGTGTGTCCATGTTTTGCATGCTTTGAGTGAGGTTTTCTATTAAGAGCTCAGTGTCGGCCAATCGTTTCAGGCACTACAAACAAACAAAAAAGAATTGAAAAATCTGTTCACAAATTGCGTAATAATGATCTGACTTGATAGAGTGTACGCTTACATCGGTTAATTCAGTTTCGAGTTTGCGGCAAGTTTCATCAAGATTTCCGATTTTGTGGTTGAATGACCTGACGACACGGTCGGCTTTTGTACGCAAATCTCGGGCTGCGTTTATAAGTATCGCATCAATTTTAGCGCGCAATTTTATCTGCGATTTTTTTTTTATATAACGAATTTATATTTGTATCAGTTTTGTTGTCATTAAATATATATATTTGAACGTACCGAATTTTGTCGCACATCTTCACAGTCGTTTAGCGCCTGTATAGTGAATGCTTCCCATCGATCTTCGGTTGATTGACTAGATTTAACAACCATTGAATTAAAATAAGTCTTTTCTAAAATAAGTCTATTTACCCATCCATAAATCGAGTAGCGCCCGGTTTGAAAAGTATCTCATGTGATTTATTGTTCAGTGCTGAATTTCTTGAGTCAATTTCATATGCATGCATTTTATCGGACCAATCGCTTTCGAGACGTTCACGTGCCGCTCGATTTTCACTCTGTTGTCTATTGATGTCATTCACAGATGAATTAAATACATTACGAATTTCCGAAATCAATGCAATCTCTTCGATAAGCTCTTCTTCAGGACCGTCACGGATCAGTTCGCTATCAGGGCGTCGACTTCGTCTTTCAATACATTCAGTTGCTAATTTTTTTTTAAATTTATAAATATGATGAAAACAAAATGAAAAATCAAATTATTCTGTCGAATGTATCAATACCAATCGATTCGGGTTTTTGTAAAACGACAAGTGCTTGCATCATTCGATTTCTTTGCTCGGCCAAAGTACTTATTTCGTCCATTTGTGCACGTATTGCACGCTCTAATGTTGTTTTTAATCTATACACATCGTGTGTTCGATCTCGCAGTAATTTTGTACTATTTTCTTGATGACGATCAACTAGTGCGTTTGCATGGTCGGTTGTATCTTTGCTTTTGTCTTCGATTCTATGGAAAAAAAATGGTCATATTTTTAAAAACATTTTGATGCAGAAATAATGAGATCGATAAAAGGTAAGATGTTGCAGCTTCAAATAAAAAATAAATAAAATAAAAGAAAAGAGGTGAGTTAATTAATTACTTGAGACTTTGAAGTATGATTTGATGATTTTCATCGTAAATGTCATTGTTGCGTTGATGCCACTCTTGTGTGCTGAACTGAGTTATGGAATAATGGTCAACAATTGGTTTAACACCAACCAAACCACTTTTTGGATTCCAATCACATTTGCCAGTTGCCCAAGCTCCAATCGCACCCATTTTTTCACTCATTTCATCGTGTATGGTTCGGTTGCTTTCACACCTTGATTGACATTCAGCCTTTTTTCACGAATGAAAAAAATAATTAAAATGAATTTTAATTTTAAAAAAATGTAAAAAAAAATTATTTTCAATTGAAAAAAAAAATGTCAAGAATTTACCTGCTGCCCATTTGTATCATCCCAAGTGATTTTTTTAGTTTTTTCAATTTCATCCTGAAAATAAAAAAAAGCGAAAAATTTAACTATAAATACAAAGCCAAAATATCGTTTTCAAAAAATCTTGAGTACTTTCATGCAGCATGGAATGTGCTCAACACAATTTTCCGAATTCATATTTTTTCCTTTTCTTGAATGAAATTGTGCTTGCTTAAAACGTAGCAAGCAATGTATGTATATATATCGATATATAACAAAGAACTGTGAGCCACACTGCAATTTGAGCCAACGTAATAAATTGTTTAATGAAATAAATAGCAACGGTTGCCATTCTATCGGAAAATGCTTGTGCGCGCAAGGTCGTCCATTCAATATGTATAAATATCAAATAAACATGCATTGAACAACAATTTTTACCGAAATGGAATCATTAGTGCTGTTTATTTGCGACGAAATTAGAATCCGAATGTTTTTTTTAATCAATAACCGGCCGGAGAGTATCAGACAGGAGCATTCTATTGCATTCAATTTAAATGTAACTATCCTATTACGCTTATCACAACGGCAAATATTAATTTAAAATATGCTGGTTATTCTCTCTATCACTTCGTTGCAAATCAATCTCGATTTTGATACAATGTACTTCGAATTTTTGGGTCATGTGTGCAATAATCAATAAATTGCCAGTTGTGACGTGCTCTATCTTGCGATTATAATTAAAATGCTCTATCTATCGATTTCTCAACAATAAAATTTAATTTTCATTATCGTCGAAATACAAGCTAAAACATGTGTTTGAAACGATCGCATTCAGTTGGTCGCGTACATTCGAATCAGCGCTATTCAATTTCAGAGGAAAAGTTAGAAAACGGAATGCATTAAATTTCATTATAGGTTTAGTTTTGCACCGCGTATTTTTTTTATCACATTCAAATCCACAAATTAAATTCAATATTAAGTTTCGTCAAAGACTTTTACAATTCACAAATGCAAAAACATTCTCAACTTTTATAATAATCTTTTTTTTATTCGTTTGGTAAAGTATCCATTAGCTCGTAATGAAATAAATCCACAGAAGGAGATTTATGCCAAATCAAGAAATCAGCTCAAAACAATTCAATCAACTTGATAATGTTCATGGAATGAGCTTACAATTTCACCTTTCTTTAGTTTAAAATTATGTTTAAGGTAAAAATGAACAAAAAAAAAAGAAATTATAATTTTGAATATAATAACTTTGGATTACATTTTATGAAGAAAAGTCGGGAAAAAAATATGCAACGCCAACACATTTTTGTCATTTCCAACAAGTGTCTTTACGAATTAATTTCATTGCATTTCTTTGGAAAGGAAAAACGTAATACACCGACATCATTCTTTATCAAATAAATCACTTGTTCATTTCACGATGAAAGACAGCGTGAAAGAAGACATCGTATTTATTAAACTATTTCTGTTTTCTCTCTAAAAAAAATGACGCTTGTACCATAGCGACACTTGTTGCTGCTTTTTGTTTTAAAACTACAAATTATTCCAATTCATGGGACAGTTAAGCTGTTTTGTTTCACATAGTGATAAAGTTTATCACACTTTATATACATTTACTATTGCAATAGATGAGAGCCTGCAAATAAATGCTCTGTGTCTGCGTTTGTATGTAACAAAATTTCATCAATTTCATTGAAGAAAAAAAAAACGAATTCATACATAAAATAGCCGTACCGCTTTTTAATATCAATGTATTTGGTTGTCGCACGCGATATACATAAGCCAAATAACAAATACGAATGCACGGTGAGAAGGCGTTCACAAAAGTCAAAACAACGCCTCGTTCGACACCCACCACTTTGCATTCAATCGTTTGATACGTTCGCGCTTGTGTCTGTATATGTGTGTGCACTGTGCTACCGTACACAATAGTGTTGTATGCCACAAATGCCTGCTATGTCATGTATGAATGCTGCAAAACAAGTGAATATGTGTCATTCGCTGTTGGAACCTGTTATAAGGCACACGCATTTTCGCGTTGCTCTTCTGCAACATATATTTTTTCTCTCTAACCGTTTTGAATTCGTTTGAATAAAAATCAGTAAAACAAAAATCGCGCATCGAAACTGAATTTATATTACATAAGAATTGCATTGATTTTGTGGTGTCGATTTAAGCACGATATTAAAAACACTAATGAATTAAACCAAAAAAAAAGAAAAGAGTTTTCGCTTTTTGAAAAAGGACTTGCTGAATTTTTCTCTGATAAATAAAGTCGAATTGTGTGCGTTTTTAACCGAAATTTTATGAACTTTAAAAATCGAACGTAAAGTGATTGGTGAAATAAACGGAAATAAATTCAAGAAAAATGGAAGGCCAAATTGAGAATTTGGCAGAAGTATATGTGCAAGATTTTGAATTGGATCATTTGGGTGCACCAGTGAAACGTGAACCAGAATCGGCGATAAAAATACCATGGAATTCAGTTGATGACGATGAAATGCCAGCTGCCGTTCGTTTACGTCAAATTAATGTACCAAATGGTTGGCATCAGCATGAAGAACGTCGCTTGCATAATTTCTCACCGCAAACTGATCCACACAATCACAATACGATGACAACAGCCCAAGGAATTGTTGTGAACGGTGTAAATGGTGTGCCATCAACACCGCCTGATACACCGCCGCATGTGTATTCACCATGCAATGGTACCATGTACAATAACCATTCGTATCCGCATCCTCATCGACAATCGTCAACATTTATCGAAGATATGATGTGGTTGCCACAAACAATGCGAGGTGAACAACCGCTGGATTTACGGCCGCTTCCAAATTGTCTGGACAATGATTGGGAACGACGTGAGTATATGCAACAACAACCAAATGGACAATCGATCACCAATTTACCGTCACATTTGACACATTTGGATCATCATCATATGAGTTCGATAAATGTGCACAATTCATACAATCATGCACATGGAAATCGACCAATGTCGGTCAGTTCGACGCGTTCATCATCGACAATTTCGCCACGACATCAATCGGGTCATCATCATTCGTCCGGTTCGCAAAGCAGCCAAAATCCCGATAAAGTTATTGCCGACGAATTGCTGACAACACTATCAGTACGTGAGCTAAATAAACGTTTGCACGGTTGTCCACGCGAAGAAATTGCAAAATTAAAGCAAAAACGTCGAACATTGAAAAATCGTGGATACGCACAAAATTGCCGATCGAAACGTTTGCATCAACGTCATGAGTTAGAAAAAAGTAATCGCAAATTGCAGCTTGAATTGGAAAATTGTCGCATGGAATTGAATAAAGTACGACTTGAATTGGATATGCTGAAGCAACGTCATGCTCAACGACAAAATAATAATCAGTCACATGATTTACATTCGGACGGACATAGTTCACCTCTTTTAAGCTCACCTGAATTGTATCTATGACGCCAAATCGGTGCTCATGCACCTCCACCACGACAACAAACACAATGGAACACACGCTATTGCTAAACGTGTTTTGATTCACTTTGTGTGTCTCACGCACATTTTTTATTTCGATAAAGTTCACTTTTTCTCATCGCATTGCGATTCTCTCACATTTATTTCATTTATTCATTTTTATTTTTTATTCTTTTTCATTTCTCGAATAACCGAGATAAAAGCGATGTGATCCATTGATGATTGTTGTCGACTACAAAGTAACATAGGAGTAAAAACCAATCATTTGATGAAGACAACAATTAGAAGAAATAAAACTTTTGATTCGAAATATTCAAATGTGAGAATTCGGATACAAGTAAAACTTTATAAGTGATAAATCAAGTCAAGTTTAAAGTTGGTAGAATTTAATGGCCAATTTAACGTTACAAACAAAATCATTCTCATTTTGCCAAATGATTCATTTTGAACACAAAAAAACCCTAAAACAATTGAAAAAAAGAAACACACACATACAAAGCTCATACTTATAATTAACATGTTAATTAATGATAAGCGACGTCTTCTTAAGTTTTTGTTTCAATCATAACATTGAGTCTTCAAATTTTCATTTCTCTTTTTTTTAGAAAAAAAAAGCAAAATTTATGTTTTTTAAGACTATTTGTCTCGTTCAAATTCGATTCAGTGCAATGCAATAATAAAATGGTGTGGTGCAAAGAAATTAACTTTTAAAAAATAACAAACAAACAAACAAAGTCAAACATATTTGTTATTCGGAAGAGGAAATTCGCATATTTTAGAAATCCTTCAAACATGAATAATATTTCCACATTCAGTTTTTTTCTTTCTCACTTTATTTATCAAAAAGCTAGTTTTCCCTTTGCAAACAGACATTGTTTCTGTTTCCAATTCAGTTTTTTTGTTTCGTCTCTTTTATTTTTCATTTGACAAAATTTTATTCAAATAAATAAAAGCAAAACACATTCAAAAAAAAATATCATTTGTTATAGCAATCTCAATGAAAACACATACAAATTGTAATGTAAATAACATAAAAAAACTACAAGGAAAATAAACTAAATTTAATGAAAAATTGTGAGAGTCTGTCTTGACTGTTATGTAACTGTATTTGGGCGAATTCTTTTTTTTTCAGTTCATCTTTTGCATTTTGCGCATTGCTTCAAACAAGATTTAGCTGGACAACGTAAACAACCACAGAGTCATGCTCATTCACGAAATTCTATTTGTGTGGTCAAGAGAGAAAACAAATAATCATTTGCAGATCGTTCAACTTTGTTTCCGCTTTTTTTTTTTTTAATTTGTTATGGTTTTCGTTGGAACAGAGGTAATTTAATCCAGTTCAATGTATTTTCCTCTCAAAATCCCGACAACATTCGAATAAGATGTGACAAAAGGTAACTTTTTTTGCTCGATTTTGACTGTTCAATGAACTTACCAGTAACCTAATTTTGAGTTTGCTAATTTTCGAATGGGTTTTGAAATGGTCAGTCAGTAACAAAAGCGTAAGTATATATCATGAATTGACTCCCGCATTGACACTTGCTATTCAGAAAGAACAATTTTAATGTATAGAAAGATCTGTTTACAAAACATCGATAAAATTCATCATTTCCGATGCGATTCATATTGCTTTAATGCTTGTCGGTTCATTCATATTGTCGTTTGTGTCAATATGCCTACAGCAATGACCAATACAAGAACTTTTTGTGAGGCACAACTTATATAACTAGTAAATCTGTTTTCTTGGCACATATAACAACACAATGAATTTAAAATAACAAACACAAATGCGTTGACTTTTTCTCTTGTGCTTGCCTCAGTCGTGCAAATGTACATTATAAAAATGAGATGTGCGCTACAATGTGTATTGTTCTTCATTTGGTCGCGACTGCGGTGCAATGTGAACTCTTCGCATAATTTTTGTTTATTTCATTTTTTGTTGCATTTATTTAATGCGCGTGTATTTTCTAAACAGTCGCGCCTTTAATTCCAGAAAAATGTGAATTCTAGCAAAAATACGGAAATTAAATACGATATAGTATCTCGCTGTTTCTTCAATCGGCGGCTGTGTCTTTTTACTGGTCTAGAAATTAGATCGGTCTGTGTGGTTAGCAAAGATATACATATTTCTGAGTAAAATTTGTCGTTGGTTTTAGGCTCGGTTTGAAATGAAAATCGTTTAATTTACAATGTATCACTTTCAGGCCTCGCATACATTTGTATAATCATTGTGTGAAGAAATGAAAATTGATATTGACCTCTCTGTTAGGTGACTCGGTTACACTCTCCGGCCATAATCTAAATGTGCAAAATGATCTTTGCTCATATTCCAACTGATTTTTATGATACAAACAAACCAACTTAATGAATAACAACAATTAAATGTCGCATATTCTGTGTGTTCGTTTTGTTGCATTTACGGCATCGAACCACTTGAGTCGCCAGTGATTGGTACATGGACATGTTTTTTGTTTATCAATATTATTATTATCTGTGGTCATTTGAAAGTATATGACTTGAAAAGGATGTTGAAAAGGATTAATATTTTCAATTTTTGAAAAAACTACGTATTTTGCCAATGATAAGAGTATTGACACGTGCATGTGTCTTTTAGGGCAAAGTACTCGTTGAAACCTAAAGAAGAAGAAAAAAAAACACATAAACATTCGATTCATTTTCGAAACGAAGTAAATGTCGATGGCCAGCGCAAAAATGTACACGTGAAATGGGTGGCGAGCATAAAATCGAACACAAGCACTGAATTATTTTATCGAGAAAACATGTGAAAAAACCGCGAAACAATTGAGCAATTGTCAAAATATTTGGCACTTGAGCAATACATTTTTTGTCCGAAAAGTTCGAAACATCACTAAGTAGAATACCGGAGTTCACTGACTCTTCTCTCTTTCTCTGTCGTACATACTTTTTCCCTCAAACACACAGTGCATTATGTGATTGGCATATGTGTTACTTACACATTCACCGCAATAAACAAGTTCGACTGCACAAAAAAGGTAGAAAAAAGAAATGACCATTTCAAAATTATCGTGTACGTCAGCATTAACGAATAATTGATTTTTTTTCTGTTTTCACTCGATTTCGAGGTGTAATTATATGTTAGTTATCAACGAAAGTCATCGGTTGTAAAATTCTGCTACTATGTGCATAACATTGTACAAGTGACAAATAGCACTTTGCAATCGCTTATAAATTCAATCGCAACATTTAAAACAAATGCATCCAGTTTAGAATAAAGTACGTTTCAATGAATGTTTATTGACGAACGTTAGTTTGTTTGGAATAAAATTAATCAAATGTTTTCTGTTCGATCAAACCAGTTGAACCATATCAAATAGCGATTATTTCGTTAGATCAGCAAAATAGCGAATGCTTCCACATATATATTGAAACAGCCACTAGAGGGGTCATTATCAATTTCATAGTATAAAATAGCGTTTCAAAGATGATTGCATTAATTGACGCGGATTTTTTTCCCAACTGCAACTAGTTTCCTGTGATTCAGTATATCAGGACAGTAGCAAAATTTTTAGAGATTTCAATGTCATTGCCACGCATTTGTTACTCCGACTAATTAATATTGGTCGTTGTCGTCGAATTGGAAATTTCCAAAATCTTTTCATAACAACGATGCATGTGTGTAATAGCATTTATCTTGTGTGTTATTTTTTCAACTTCCAATAAAAACTTTTACTTTTTTTCTCATCACAGTAATGGTAATTTATGCGCAAACTTTCCGCATTACTGTCAAATACGGTGTCAAGTTAGCACTTGCTATTCGAAATTGATGATAGTAAATTTAGTGCACATTCAGTGAAGAGGGTTGCACCGAAGCCAAATGAATGCAATGCAATAAACTTCCGTTCGGTCTTCATACGGGCAAACTAGATTAATTACCTAAATAGAACATTAATCGATTTTTTTTCTCGCCTCTCCATTTCATTTGTTAGTTCTTTGTGAATTGGGACACATTTTTAATCGATAACTATTTTGTTCAATTCACATTTCTTCGGTCTGGTTTTATGCGTCAACTATGTTTTAAAAAAAATATGTATCCTATATCGAGTAATTTTTTGTCTTTGAAATACAATGGCGCTTTTGAAAAGTCACAAATTTAATTACAGTGTTTATTGTTTTTTTACTTTACTTTTCTCGCTTTTGGTTGCGATAGATATGAATCATTTCAGTTTGTTTAAAAATCGAGCATTTCAAATATTGGAAATATCTTATCGCTACATTTGTTTACATTCAAAACGCGAAATTTAATGGCTAAAAATTAAATTAGACTAAATAAACGCGTCGTTCAAATGTACATTTCATTCGAATGAATCATGACTATTGTATGGCATACCATAAAAAATGCCCAATAAAAATCATGACATTTGGTATAGAGGATAAGTTAGAAATGTTTATGGTTAAAGGTTAGCATCGGAATGGGCGAAAAAATCACGATTTTTCATGAAATTAATAAAACTCAGACTGAACGGTGGAATGAACAAATTTGAGAAAGTCACTCTCTCAAAAGAGAGAGAAAGGGAGAAGTGAAACGAAACAGAGAAATAAAACCGAAAATTCTCCCGAAAAAAGGTCCACTCAAAATAATGACATCTAAATAAATATATGAACGAATTTTGACTTTTAATATATACAATCGTTTTGTTTGTATGAACGCACCATTAAAATGATATCGATGCATACATAAACCGATCGACCAGTATCAATAACAGTAACAATAATAATTTACTCGCCACAAACGGTTATCTCTCTGATTTATTTTATTGTTTGGTCATTTCGGCCACAATATCAAGAGAGGGAATGTGAAGTTGTCTAGCAATTTGGTCAAGTGCATTTACTCCAATCAAGTCATATTCTAATTATATTGGGAATGATATTCGTTCTGTATTTTAAGTTGATGAAATCGATTCGGTTATGATAAGTTGTTGCCAATAATTTTGTGTGTTCTCTGCGTGTTTGCTTCCCATTTTTAATATTCATTGACGAAAACAAAAGATGTATATTTTGATGGTCTTTGTATTCACCATTGATTTATTGAAATTGGCAAAAGAAAAAAAATATTTATGCAACGATGCCGAATAAATATTTAGTTGTATAATAAAACACTTTTCGATTGATAAAATGTTGCTCGATTTCGATAGATCTATAACTCTGTCAACACTCATCCGATGCGTACATAAACCTTCGAAAACGGCCAAATTTATACCGGAGCTGCGTCTGCACAAAACGTTAAATATCAAAGACACGCAGATGTATCAATAAAAATATATATGTACAACAAAACGCTTAATGGTCAAAATATGTTTATGAGTTGGATTTAATGCAATGGATTTTTTTCTAATTCAATGGTGAAGCCCCCCGCGTTTAAGTAAATAAAATCTTATAAACAAAACAATTCGAAACTATAGGCATTTACTCTCATGAATTTTCGGGCAAAAGATATGATTAATAAACGGGTGACAAATCCAGTAGTGAAAAATAAACAACAAGACGAAAATTTGAACTAATTTTACGGCTGATGTTTTGAACATTGGAATGTTTTGAAAAAATAAGCAATTACACAGATTGACGGCAGCAGCGAAATATGTCCTTTTTTACATCTAAACGAGATATAATTATTTGCTGATTAATCAAATAAGCAAATGTGTTTATTCTAATTGATTTTTTTATCAAATTTAAAATGCTGCTCTTTGCTTTTGTTGCGTAACGGAAAAAATGGGCACGCGTTAACATTTTCTGCTTATTTTGATGTTCATTCCCGTAACTCTACGCATATTCTTTCATTCACAAAAATTGTTGACCAATTCAAATACTCTTTGTTTTATATCTAACTTTGTGGCAAATAGCGTCGTCA